GAGGTAGGGGTGAAACAACGGGGCCGGTTTGCTCTGAAGTGCAGAGAATACCCAGAAAGTTGGAGGCAGGGCTCCCTGAGGGAGCTACGCCAGCATCACCTGGCTGAAGGCTTGGCACGGGGCCCTTCCCTTGCCTCAGCTGTCTGCCCTGAGCTGGATGGTAGCAGAGCTTTTGTCCTGTGCTTCCTTCAGGCTGCAGACTCAGGATGTGCCCAGACCACCCTTGCGGGACGAGTTTCTGTTTGGAGGGGAGAGAGGTGGGGTTCCCGCTGCAGCCTGCTCCTCCCAGGCATGAGCCAGGGCACCTGTCTGGGACCGGATGCTGGGGAAACACATCGCCTTACAGGGCTGAACATGCAGGCGGCGGAGCACTTGCACCAGGCCAAAGTGAGTGCCACTGAGCCGCATGTCACTGTTGACAAGAGTGATGATTTACTGGGAAAACTGCCCTATAAAAAACACACTTGAGGATCCTGTTTATTGTCTCATACCCTTCAAATACTCTACAGTTACAAATACTCCATACAATTACAAGCTAAAAAAAGGAGGGGAGGTAATTCTCCCACACACTGTCTATCCCATAGACTCAACAAACCTGCAGCACCATCAGCAGACAACGTGGGTCGGACAGCCCGGTGGGGCTCCTTCTGGGAGATGGCGGGCCACCTCCACTGGGGATAAACAATCCCCACTTCAAACCTGGGCCATAGTCCGGCTGCCAGATCCACACAGCTGCAGAAAGCAGAGGTGGAGGGAGCTGTGATGGGGGTAGGATGGAAATTGGTTGTTCCCACATAACACAGCCTCTCCTCTGCAAAACTGTGATGATCCATGGGGCTCTGCAGCCCCCACACTTCTCTGGGTACCTCCATCCCATCTGAGCCCTGCTGAAAACTGCAGCCCACAAAAATGCCCTGAAGTCCACTCAACACACAACTCTCAAAGATTGCACAACAACCAGGCAGGGACTCAGCGCAAGAGTGACCACAAGCGGCTGCATCTCTGGGCCACATTCAGGTGGTCCAGACAACCAGCTCGACCGCTGAGGGAGCCAAGCGGTTTCCTTCACTAGGAGAAAATTTGACTCACCCCCTCCTCTTCCCAAAGCAGCAGGGCAGTCTCCACACGTATAAAGCTACGATGACCCGTCCCTTCCCCACATGAGCACTTACCCCCCAGGAACTGGATGCCTCCTGCCACCCTGCCCACGGTCCTGGAGATGAGCTCGGACACGCAGCAGCCCATGAGCGCCGTCAGGGCCACCAAGAGGAGCAGCCCGCAGCCCAGGCCCGTCACCACCGTGCAGATCCTCCACTCGGCACTCGGGATGGCCTGGAAGGAGGCGTAGCGGCCACACTGCTCCACCATCACGGTCGTCTGCCGGCTCTCATCCCGCACCGGGTAGGAACACCTCCGGAAAGTGCCAAAGGAAACCGACTTCTCCAGCTGAGACCCCAAAAGCCAGTAGGGCATGAAGAAGCCCACGCAGGAGGCAGCGGCACAGAGGAAGGAGAGGAAGGCCCAGACCATGCCGGTGCAGGTGAGGCTGGAGGCCATCTTTGTATCTGCTCCAAGACCCCTCACGAGGGGGAGACAGAAAAGCAGCTGTGTACTTTAGAGGAAGTTTATGGATAATCCGGAGTCTCTCAGCCTTGACAAATCCTCGTGCTGGGAGAAGCTTGGATCCTAACATACGGTGGGATGTTTCCTCCCATCATGAAGACAAAGGTCCCTAATTAAATAGCAATGCACAAAAAAAGGAGAAGAAGACAAGTTCAGTAATACTGATGATAAATTAAAAAAAAATGTTTATCTGACAGAGTGTTTTTTCTTCCTACAGAACTTTTCATTAAGACATCTCACTTTTCTGTCCCATCCTTGCAAGCAGCCAGGAGAATTGCTGTCAGCAATATCGGCTGCAGGGATGGTGGGATGGCGGTGGGAGGCAGCCCGGCCAGCACAGGCTGCTGTGCACATCCAGGCACGCTCTGCAGCCACCCTCAGGGGTTCCCTGTGTACCTGCCTACTCACTTTTGTCCACTGTACGTCTTGATCTACGTACCATTAGTGAGAAAAGAGCGAGGTCTCACTCATCCTTAGCTAATCGGGCCTTCCTCCTGTGACACCTGGGGAATGTGCTTCACATCACACGTGGCCCCACAGCTTCAGTGCAAAAGCGCTCACAGTGCCTAAGGCTTTTCAGGATCGGACCCCTGTGGCAGAGGCAAACCTCCTTAACACACCCCGAGAGGAGAGTTTTGAGGCGACATTTTTTTTCCAGCACTCCCTTAAGTTGTTGGCATCCCTGTGCAAAAGAAGCCCTTAATCCCTTGATGTCCAGAAATACCAGGCACCCCAACTCTGGGTGGGCTCCCGATAGGTGAAGACATTGCCACATCTTTTGGATTCACCCCCAAGCAACCTCAACATGTTTAAAACACACACAATATTCCTGCTTGTACTCAGCCCAGTTCCTTCTCTTCTTTGCCTCTTCCCATCTCAATCCCAGGAGCCTTAACCCCTCTGCTTCCTTCTTGGACACCTCCCAGCCTCTAAGCTCAACAATACCAGCACAACCAAATGGTTTTGACTGTCAGAGAAACCTACACACTGCTTTCCAGAGGTTGGGGTGTATTCCTTGTTAAATCTATGCTGGATTTCTTGTTAAATCTATGCAGTTGGAGCATCCAACTGATACATTCATGATCACTTTTCACAGTTGCTGCCAAATTAATCCCGATAGCTATTTACAGACTTTTTTTTTTCCTAAGCATGATTAGACGCCCATCAGTGAAACCAACTCATGTACAGGCAATAAAACTAACACTACTTCAGTAACAACAAGGGACCGTTGAGAAAGTCTGGAAGTGAAATTAAACATGTGCACCACACAAAAGTTTTGTTTACTTTTAAAACACTATGAGAAAGAAGTCTCTTCTATAATGTTAAAAAAAAAGGCCTATGCTGTTACTCCAGAAGTATACACCTATCTACTCGTAGCCTATCTGCAGAAATGCCTTTCAACCTGCAAAACACCAAAGCCCTGGGGATAAAAACTTGGGAGAGAGGCATAAGGTGCCTCCATCCCTTCAGAGGCATCCTCTGGAGAAGAATCTGTCTCTTGGCATGGCACCAAACGCCTAAAGCAAAGTGGGTCACGGCACGTGGGGAAGATCATTCCCTGGATCGGGGGAGGAGGTACGGCTGGAAACAGGGGGCATGGAGGCTTCCAGGGGCAGGCCCCTGCAGCTTTGCCTCCGCGGAGGCTGCCAGCTCACAGCCGGGGCGCTCGCCGGGGAGGCGGACTCGCCC